GCTTAGCAGCACAAATATAGGGCTCAATTGAGATCGTAAGCCGAGGACCACCTGATCTGATTTTAAGAGGGGGGCTTTTTAACCCTTAGTTACATCAATCCCAGGATTTGATATAACTATTTGATGGACTTACCTATGTCATTGCAGGGAGAAGGACAGGTCTTACTACTGGTTTTTTCCCCTCCTAACACAATTGTTTCTATTTTATCTTTCAGAAGACAGGACGGTGAGAGAGGCCATTGAAAAAGAAGATGCTTCCAGGAAGACCGTATCCTCTGAGGTTGCCATGATTGAAAGTGGGTACCTGTTGGAAATGTTGTGGTCGGGGAGGAAGGGAGACAGGAAAATGGAGCACCTTAGATGTTCTGCTCCGAAACCAGGTTCCCACATTGCATCAAGCCACGACTTGCTTTCCTGTGGTTTCTGGAATGAAGTCTCCGTTTGTATATCTCCACAAATAGTGCTAGTTGCAGCTCCATCCAGTTGACCAGTACAAATACCGTATTTTTTGAGGCTTTTTTTGGCCTGTTTTCAAGGCTTTTTCTGAAAAAAAAAGGCTTGAAAAAAGGCTCAAAAATGGCATAAAAGGCCTCAAAAACAGGCCGAAAAAAGCCTTGAAAAATGGGCCGGAAAATGCCTCAAAACGGGTTGAAAAAAAGCCTCAAAAATGGGCCAAAAAGCCAAAAAACAACCAGGCCGAAAAAAGCCTCGAAAACGGGTTGAAAAAAAACCCAAAAATGGGCCCGAAAAAAGGCCCGAAAACGGAGCGTGTGGAGGCTCAAAAAACAGCCAGCGGGTGGATGGGGCTTTGACAATATTCGAACTATAAGACACACAGACATTTTCACCGCTTTTGGGGAGACAAAAAAGTGTGTCTTATAGTCCGAAATATACGGTAGTCCTCCACCTACGACCACAATTGAGCCGAAAATCCTTCTCTGGCCCAGAATGTAATAGTGAAGCTGTTCAGCTGGGATTGGAGAGACCCAGTTTCTTGTCCCCTTTTTACCGTGAGACCCTTTGGGCCAGCTCCTACCTCTTAGTCCCAGAGCTGGGATAGGGATGGCGAGGTGGGGAGAGGTAATTGGGAAGGTCGGGACTAGAAGTGGAGAGACCCAGTATTCATATTAACTATGTGCTTGATGGTTAATTGAAAGAACTGTATTCTTGCTTTCAACTTTCCTGTCAGAGTGTTTATGGAGATGCTCAGTCATCCCAGGTCATGGTTGTCCCAAAGGTGCTTTCTTTTCAAGAGGCAACTGGACTTTCTGGTTTTTCTTTTGAAGACATTTTGCTTCTCATCCGAGAAGCTTCTTCAACTCTGACTGGATGGTGGGGAATGGAAGGATTTATATTCCTTGCAGACATAGGAGAACAAAACCCATCAGGACAAGATTCAGCAATCCATCTGTCAGGTTTCGATGTCGTCTCAAATAAATTGCATTTCCAAACAAATAGTCTTTGATGAAATCTTTCATTTATTAAGCACGACAATCTGTCCCCGATTATGTCGTAGCCAACACTGACTTCCTGACCCCAAACCTTCCCTTTCCGCTCCCCAATTCTCTGCATCTCATTGGCCATCTTCCAAATCACTCTCCCCATATCTACTACTTCAGCTCCCAGGAATGTCCCCCCTCCCATCTCATCTCCTAGGGGATATTATCTTCAGAGAAAATAAGTAGGTGAAAAGTCAAGCGTCCTCTTGCCAGCTGCCCCCTCTTCTCCTCCTTATGTCAGCATTGGAACGAATGTAGTTTGGAGTGCTGACACCATCTGCATTTAAAAGACAAAGCAGCAAAGTCCACACTTTTGACAGAGAGGACCACTGTTTTGAAAGAGGGGTCAAAGAGGCCTTCTGTGTCAAAATTGAACAGCCCTCTCTCAACAGAGGGGTTGGGGGATATGACATCATCTATCTCCAGTCTGGAACACAGTCTTTTCAGCAGTTCCAAGAAGGCTTCACACCAGGGGTAGGCTGCTGAGGGTTCGGGAGAACCTCTAGCTAAGATTCTGTGCAGTTCGGAGAACCCCCAAACCCCACTCCTGGCTGCCCCCGCCCACCCCGCCTCACCCCTCCCAGGAGTCCCCACACAGCCGGTTTTGGAGGCAGATAATTGCAAGGCGTGTGTGGAGCCTCGGGGAGGGCGAAAAACGGGCCTATCGGAAGTTCAGGAAGGGCCTCCAGAGCCTGGGGAGGCCGTTTTCGCCCTCCCAGAGGCTCGAGGAAAACCTCCGGAGCTCAGGGAGGGCAAAAACACCCCCTACCCACCCCCCTGCTGTGGTGCAGGAGGCCGACTAGGCCATGCCCACCATGGCCACGCCGACCCAGCAACTGGGCAGAGAACCCCTTGCTAAAATTTTTGAAGCCCACCCCTGCTTCACACCCATTTGCACCAGTCAGGTGACTCTGAGGAAACAGATAAACCTCCAAGTGGCCTCAAAAGGCTCTCTAAAAGAATGCAAATAACCCGCCGGCCGCAAGGAATGTAAATCCTTCCCTTCCCCACCATCCAGTCAGAACTGAAGAAGCTTCTTGGATGAGAAGCGAAACGTCTTCAAAAGGAAAAGCAAGAAAGTCCAGTTGCCTCTTTGAAAAAAAAGGACCCTTGGGGGTTTTTTCTGCGAGGTGAATTTGGGGCCGAAGTTTCTGTGGTGTTTTTTTTTTTAGTGATTCCAGGCAGGGATGGGTTGCAGAACAATCAGGATGGGAAGCCACACGAGACACCCTTCGGAGAGAGCAACGGGACAGATGCAGAAGAGTGTTGCGAACATCTGGGTGATGCCAAGGTCCAAGAAGAGAAAGAAACAGCTGAGGAAAGAAAAGACACAGCAGCAAGTAATCTTGTTTCACTTCTTTGGCTCTTTGTTAATCGGAGTTGGTTTTAATTACCGTATTTTTCGGAGTATAAGAACCACCGGAGTATAAGACAGACCTTAGTTTTTGGGGAGGAAAATAGAGGGGGGGGGAAATTCTGCCTACCAGGTGTTCATCTGGCTAAGTCCCAGCACATTAGTTCGCTCGCTGGGTTGGGGTTTTGGGGTTTTCTGGTTGGGGCTGTGCTTCTAAAGCACAGCTGATTGTCGGAGGGAGCAGCAATTAGAAAAGCAGGCAAAGCACGGAAGATCGCTTCGCTCGCGTTGGGGCTGAAAAACAGCTTCAAAAGCACAGCTGATCCACGGAGGGAGCTCCAGTGACTAAAGCAGGCAAAGCGCGGAAGGGGTAAGAGAAGGCAGCAGCTGTTCCAGGTAGCCTGAGTGGCATAGGAGGCTAATGCCTCCTACTAAGGCAGCATTTAACATCCAGCTGCCTGCAATTACTGCGAGTTCAATTCTCACCAGGCTCAAGGTCGACTCAGCCTTCCATCCTTTCTAAGGTGGGTAAATTGAGGACCCAGTTTGTGGGGGCAATAAGCTGATTTTGTAAAAATATACAAAAGTATGAAGGCTATTGCTTAACGCATTGTAAGCCGCCCTGAGTCTCCGGAGAAGGGCGGCATATAAATCAAATAATAATAATAATAATAATAATAATAATAATAATAATAATAATAA